TTCACTATCTCTATAATTTCCTTTTCAACTATGGGCTTCAGAAACATAGAACTCATGTTCCTTTCAATTGTATTGTTATTTATGGTGACGGATGTATCATCTGTACAAATGCTTCTTCCTAAACCAGGACCAACATTCACAAAGAACCTATTAAACTTATCACCTACATCCTCCAATCTATTGACCGGTGATATTTCATTAAGGAAAAATAAAAGAGAGTTGAAATAAACTAATATCCCAATAGATCATGTCTTCATAAAAATGCTGGAGATGCACAGCTGTCTGTGATCAAGAGGCAAACTGGAATATCACAGCTTTAAAGCAATGGAGACATTCATCCAAATATAACGAGTGTACTTTGGACCTAGATTGAGTCACGTGTCTATTAGTGTTTATGCGAATAAACACTGAGTGCCAAGTGTGTCATTTTGTACACACACTTTAAAGAGCCGCTGTAGAAACTAAGAGGGAAATTATCTTTGGATAATGTTTGAGAAAAGACCTTTTATTCTAAAGCCAAATAGGGCCACAGACAGCTGCCAGGTCACTCAAAGAAAATAAATGTTTTTCTTGTTCTTGTAATTGTGCTTGACTAGAGATTCGGCCTGGTCTGGGTCTTGGGTGGCGCTATGTTTTTGCTGGCCAACAGAACTTTGGTTTCTGCCTAAGAGAGCATTTAAACTAGGGAGGGGCTCAGAATTTAGGCTGTTCAGTTCACACTTTATTTTTCTAGCATTTTTCTTTGCTCTGCATTGTGTCATTTCATGTTTGTATCTTGTATGAACAGCTGTGCTGAGGTAAGGGAAGTGGCTGGCCCAGACACTTTTGGTAAAAGTGGGGGTCGTACACACAGATAAAACTGTAAAATTAATAAAGGAAGGAAAAATGACGTGAAGTGGAAAAACTGAACCTGTAATTGAGCTTTTCTCTTATTTGTCCATGTATAAGTGGATGCCTTTACTACATTGTGTTAAAAACTGAAAAGAAACAGATGCTTTTTCATTTTGATGAAATGAGCAACAGTTTTCTGAGAAGCAAAGAACAGCAGCAAGGAGCATTAAAATGCATCTAGGGCAACAGATCAAAACTATATTGTACCATCTACTGTACGAGTACTTTCTGAGACTTTGAACACTAATTAGAATAAGACAGCAACATATTGCACATATCAAGGATAAAAAACAAGTTTAACAATAGCAAATATATGCAGAGACAATTTAAAGCATCTTCATCCTGCTACAGGTTATTTCAACTATTTCACTCCTCGTCTGAGATGTGTGCATCTGTGGGAGCTGGGGAGTGGGTGGAGAAGCAGGAATATGCATCTCAATGAGAAGTGTCTCAGTGGATTTTCATTGAGATCTGAGACCTCTGCCTTATTGCTCACTGCACCAACAACTATAATGATTATGAATGAAAAAGGCAAAACATAAAAAACAGTCCACTGCTACTACACACACACAGTCTCAACTATATTAACACAAAAATGTCGAGTTGAAATAATTTCTGTCCAATGTGTATTTAATATGAAGCCTAATGCAGCTAGAAGAACACAAGTTGGCTGCAAAGTATAAAGAACTGTTCTGAGTGTTCAAGAAAATAAACGTGAAGTTACTATAACTCATTTTCATTTATTTTTAGATTCAGAAGCTATGTGCAGTAAGACAGCAGCAGAAAACAATGACTGTAATCCCTAAATAAGTGGCCTCACATATATATAGGGTCGCTGGGGGGCTGGAGCCAATCCCAGCTGACCGTGGGCGAGAGGTGGGGACTCTTTGGACTGTGGGAGGAAGCCGAGGCACACAGAACCCACACACGCCCCGGGACAGCCCGGGCTCAAACCCGGAACCTTCTTGCTGTGAGGTAACAGCGCTAACCACCACGCCACTGTGCTGTTTTGTATATATCACTACCCTAACCCGTGCTTTCCTCAACTGTCACGGAGCGTAACCTCATGAGTTGATGCAGACTGTCCTGCTTTACTTTGCCACTGTACTTTTCAGTGTGTCAGTCTCTGTTTAGAGGAAGATGCATCCTCTTGCACACACTCACAGGTGAGCAAAGGATGTAAAGGATCACTCACAATCCAGAGGTGTAAAGTACTTTAGTACATTTACTCACGCACTGCACTTAAAGACAGCTTTGAGGTATCTGCATTTTCATTTTCTGTTACTTCATACTTCGACTTCACTACATTTTAGAGGCCTGCATTCTGTGGCATTCTGCATTATGAGTACTTTTAATTTTGCTACTTCAAGTATATTTTGATGCAAATACTTTAGTACTTTTACTTCAGTAACTTTTTAAATGCAGAAGACTTTCACTTGTAACAGAGTATTTTAATATTATGTTTCACTGCATGAATAAGACTAAACTGACAAAGTACCCAGAGTGATGGCCTATATTTGGGGTTGCAGACAAAATGAACCCATTTGAATCCCATCCTTGTTGTTTTATGATACAACATAAAATGATAATATAGTTTTTAATGGGGTAATTAAGGCAGTTTGTAGGTTTTTTGCT